CATAAAACAATGCAAATTAGGGGTGCAATGCCGCCTGCTTAAGTTGACAGTACTTTTGAGTTTGAAAGCATTTGAGTTAGTGATAGTTAAAAACTAGCCTAGAACACAAAGTTAAAACCTAAGCTCAGAATTAATTCCAAATAAAAAAATTTAAGAACAGATCCACAAAATGCAGGTAGATTTACTTACCATACTTCCATACTATATAGTACGCTAAAATCAGTATGCGAGCCGAGTAGTATGTCCGAATTCATAGAATTCGAAAATCACTAGGCAAGAAGTACCCGGATGACTTACTACTTCCGGCGAGATTCTGAAGTGCGCATCCTATGCATGCTGCGCTATCCCATAATGCCCCGTGAGAGAATTCATTAATGGAAGTGAGGCGATGCAACTGACGCAGGTAGGTCAGGTGACCATGACAAAATGACGGATGTAGTACGTCCGAATTCCATTCATACTTTTCACATTCATACTGTAAAGAACGTACTTTTCTAACGGCCGAGTAGTACGTTTAAATTCAAATGCAGCACCTACTGAGTACTAGGCGGTTTCGGACGCAGCTTAGGTGTTAACACAGATCTAGGGACACTGGAGGGTTTCAAAGTCACGTACTGTAGTTAAGCTAGCTTGTCTATAAGCTGATCTGAAACTGATGAATCGCGGCATTAAAACACTCCATTGTCCATGTATCTGTGGTTACACTCAGTAAACAGCAGTGAGTTCAGTTAACTAATAACCTTCACGGCCAATCACAGACATTTTTGTTGAGCATGTGAGCACAATGACAAATCAGCGGTGTTTAAGAACATGCTCAACAGTGCTCAAATGTTAGTGGGATATGGACGTTTTTAAAATTTCTGTATCGAATGATACCAAATTCTAGTATCGTTAAACCCCTAAGCTCTAATGGTCAGCGAGTCAAATTGTCAGTGTCATTTTTGAATATCATGTTTGAATTTTGCACCATAAACCCCAACTGCCACTCCCAAACCTAACCAAGAGTACAACGCTCCCTAAAGACTGAATTGTCTATGCTATTTAGGCAAATAATAAACTAGTTGATTTTTAAAAAAGTTGAGCATATCTAATGAAGCAGGATACATAAAGAAACAGTAAGGAATGCAAAATTATAGGAACGTATAGCACAGAATAGGAGTGAAAAGACAAAGAACAGTGAAGAAAAGTCATGGATAAGACTGAACAGGCAAAAAGGGAATGTGAAAAATGTACAAAAAGATGGGACTGACAAAAAAGCAGCAGGGTTGAGAGATAGGATCGGATAGGAAAGGACAGGATAAGATAGGTTAGAATAAGATATTGCTCATAGGATATAATAAGCAAAGAAAAATGGATGGAGAAACGTGAAGGCATAGGGCAGGCAAATAAGCAGAGAGTAATGCAATAGGATGGGGTATGATAGGATAGGATAGGATAGGATAAGATAAGATAGGGTAGGATATAAGCTAAGAAAAATGAATGGAAAAACATAAAGGCATAGGGCAGGCAAATAACCATAGAATAATGCAGCAGAATTAGATAGGATTGGATAGGATAGGACAGGATAGGGTAGGATAGGATAAGATAGGATAGGATAGAATAAGATATTGCTTATAGGATATAAGTAAAGAAAAATGGATGGAGAAACGTGAAGGCCTGGGGCAGGCAAATAAGCATAGAGTAACGCAATAGGAAGGGGTACGATAGGATAGGATAGGATAGGATAGGATAAGATAAGATAGGGTAGGATATAAGCTAAGAAAAATGAACGGAGAAACATAAAGGCATAGGGCAGGCAAATAAAAACAGAATAATGCAGTAGGATTAGATAGGATTGGATAGGACAGGATAGGATAGGATAGGAAAGGTAAGGATACAGTGAGATGGAATAAGGTTCCATAAGATCTGAAAGGATATTGTTGGCAAATAAACAGCGAGGGATGTAAATGCATACTATAGAATAGGATTTGAAATTTGATATTATAGGACAGGAAAGGCATAGAATAAGAGACGAGAAAGGGTAGCACAGGCAAAGAAATAGGAAGTGATGCAAAGGCTTAGTATAGGACAGGACAGAAAATGTAACAAAAAGCACAGTATAGAAAAGAAAAGGCTCGGAAAAAAAAAAGATGTGTAGCTACTGCAAGATAGGAAATGAAAGGAAGTAGGCAAGCAGAGTAGAGTGAGCGGCAGAAAGAGAGACAGAGGAAGAAAGGTTGCTGCTGTTGTTGCTGGGTCAGCAACTTGTCAGAGAGGAGCTCAGCAGAGCACAGCAGAATTCCCAAAAGTAAACAGAGCAAGCATGACATCTTCACTAGTCGCTCGCAAGGACACCGTCCAGGCAGCTGATAACGATTTTCTGAAGATGATCTTTAAGAGGACCTAGCTTGACAAGAAGGCATTCATATCCCAATGCATCTTTTCATACATATAAAGCTGAAATCCTAATTTATTTTATTCAAAAATCACTGTTAAGCTGCAATTACCAATGAGAATAAATGTTGCAGCCATGGTGGCCATTCATTACCTGCAAATGCTGATGGAAAATCTTCCTTCAGTATCACAGAATCAATGACGAACAGACAGACACCCATTGCCAGCAGATCGATTTATCGTGCCATTTCTTCTCTGCGCTTCATTCTGAATGAGCTGTGCAGTGAGCAATCTCTTAAGCAGTTCTGTCATTAACCTGCGACTCCGGAGGGGACGGGCTGCCAAGTGGGGCTGTCTGTGTGCTGATTGGTGGGGCAATCCCATCCAGCATGGCCCCGGGAGAGCCCCATGCTAATTCTCTTAATGGACTGGAGTGATGGTGACACTGCCAAAAGTACAGTGGGCACACTCACTCTTAGCTGGAGAGAACAGAAGGAGCTGAGGGATGCTGGTTGATACTGAGAGGATATGGCAAGTGGTTTCTGGGTCAAATAAAGCTGGGCTGTGCAACTTCTCTGCAACTAGCGGCACCATACGCAATTACAAAAAATAAAACTCCCAAGCATACTGTTCTCAAAATTGTTACCTTTTCTAAATGACAGAAGCTATCTACTTTTACACCACATTTATTATTGACAGATGTGACTTGCTGAAGTCGCAATGTGCAAGTAAATAATTTCAAATGTGGAGCGTTCCTTTAAAAGAAGCTTCACAGTTTCCTCGAGTAAGTTCAAGGTTTTACTTTCCCAGTTCATTTTCACAATGTGTGAACTGCAGCCTGAGGGAATCAACCACTGCCCTTTTGCACAATGTGCGCGAGACGGTATCTCATGATCTCCCACAGAAAATTAATGAAAGGATGACGTGTAAACACTTTTTCTCTAAGACAGCGTCCTCAATACATGAGCAATCTTGCAAGCTGCGCCTTCCAAATCCATCAATAAACCCCCAAGAGCGTGTATCTTTATCTAGAGTCTATACTACCAGCATGCATCCCTTGACCCCTGGGCAAAAGGTCACAAAGGCGGCACAAAGAATTGACCTATGGGTCAAAACAGTTCACAAGGGCCAATGTTAGTAATTGCTTGATTCTCCAGGGAACAACAAAGGTCAGAAGTAAACAGAAAGCACAATACTACTGAATACATTCACAGAAGACTACAATTCAAAACATTGTCTTCTATTTTGTGACAAATAAAAAAGAAAACAACTGACAGAACATCATAATCTTTTCAGCTTTATTCAAAAGCTATATCTGAAAAATAAAAAGCATGGTAAGCAGTTTAACATTAAACAATAAAACAAAAAGACAGCAATAAAACCCATCCAAGTGCAGAGATGACTTAAATATGTTAATGAATAATTTGCATTGATTTTATTGAAACCTTTTGGAAAACCATAGTTAAAGAGTTGGACTTGGGATCGCAGGGTTGCAGGTCATATTGTAGGTCTGAGTCCTGGCATTGGCAGGGATTGCAGGTCCCTAAAAACCAGGTTGAGGTAAGTCCCTTGAGAAAGGCACCAAACCCTCAACTGCTCTATGTACAGTATATGTGTGTGAGTCGCTTTGGATAAAAACATCAGCTAAATGCTAAATGTAAACTTTGAGTGTGCTAATGTGTCAGCTTATGGCTTAATCAATGTGTAACTGCACAGTGGCAGATGTGGAAATCTTTGGAACATCAGCATGCCGCTCATCCCTAGTTATTCAAACTACAAAGCAGAATGAGACCTTAAAACATGCTGCTTAATGAGGAAATTAGCAACTGCTTGTCTAAATGATTGTACTACTATAATTATACAACTGATTTTAAAAAAAGATATTATACCACACCCATATCCAGAGACATCTCAATTAGGGCCTCACTTAGCGCCTCACTCACAGATACACGGATAGAGACCTTAACTTGGCAAACCGTCCCATGATCCAACCCAGCTCTTAGAGATCCAATGTAAGTCTTGTTTTTTTCAACACACCTTCCCAGTACTTTCAAGTCACCTTGAATAGCTGGTTCACATGTGTTTGATTAGGGTAGAAGCTACACTCTGCAGTAAACTAGGTATCCAAGAACAGGGCTGAAGATGTGTGACCTGGAATCAAGTCGCAGAGTAAAATTTCTTCTGAACAGTTTAAATGGGGCTGGGCAAGTAATCAAGGGCAATTTTAATGTGTATTTTTTCAGTAAAGTAAGTTGTAGTAAACCTCCTGTATGAAATAAATTGAATCATATGACTTTCAAGCAAGACATTGGGTCAAATATGGACAAAGTCAACCATTGGGTTAAAGGTTATAATTTAAATGTAAAAAAAGTACCCAATGCTGGGTTTGTCCATATTTGACTAAAACTTATTAAACAACACCCCATCATTTGCAACCTCTGACCATACATTAGGAAACAGTAAAGTCTTTATTACATTCACTATTATTATAATCACCTTGATTCTTATCATATTTAACAATTGCCAAACATCAACAATCTTCTAGCAACAAGTCTCCAGGGTGAAAATCCTGGCAACTGTACAAACCAAAGTTGATCAAACAGTCACTTCCCTGACTGACCCATTTCCCAATGCCCCATGCTCCCTGAGCAGTAACCCAGCAACAGGCCCACAACATAGCTACAGCGATAGGGTCCCCTCTAATCACAGCGTACCGCCCGAACACTCGGACACACTCTGTTGGCCTACCCTTTTATTTTGTACACTTCCGATCCCGGACGAGCCCCCTCGGAGTGTCCTCTGACTGTGAGGAGAGGTGAGAGGAAATGAGTGAAGAGTTGGAAAATGTGAATGAGGGGGAGAGAATTGCTCCAACAACGAGACCCATGGAACTGACTGCACCTCCACCCCCAGTGTTGTGCACTTCAGCCGAGTTTAGCTCATCTGGAAAATCACTGGGAAATAAAGGCAAAAACGAGTGGAGGTGTGGTTCTGGAACTGCGAGCGCTCATGGGAAAGATTTTGTCATCTTGACTTAGATGAGAGCTGGCACGTAACAACCACTAATGGTTTTAGAGTATATGGTGCTGTAAATATGCTGACATCCCCTGCTTTCTGGCATTATTTATTCAATGGCACAATTTTTCATCGATTGCACTTGACAGACCTAAGCACACAATACCACATCGTCCTCCACCACCGTACGCTACAAATCCACAGACTACCAGAGCTGACAATAGCACAATCTCCACCCGAGACCCCTACAAGCAGGACCCGGCCAGATGAGCAACCATTCAATGACGAGGACTCACATGGACAAGCCCGATTAACGTTCCTCTATTCAATCCAAACAGCCTCGGTGGAACAAAAGATGCAGCACTACAATTCTTCCTGTTATCAACTGGCTGGTGAATGAGCTAATTTTAACCACTCAAACCACAGTAAACACTGACACTTGCAATTAAAATGATTGAAGGCGCTCATGAATGATCTTTTAGTGTTAAAGACAAAATGATTCACAATGCATTTAGGTAACTTGTTGTATTTCCAGGTGACTCCAATCAGTGACACTTCAGTATTTTGTCGGCTCATTTTTAATATTTGAGGCCTTAATTTGATTGGTTTTGTGACTGCTTTTATCAAAACATGCCATTATTTGCCTTAAGTCTTGTTAGGGCTATGCAATATGATATATAGAGAATGCATTGGGGTTGTCAAACTTATCAAATTTGGTACATTTCGGTTTGAATATCGAAGTAACTTCTGTTGAGCAGGTGAACACCATGGCCAATTAGCATGTTCAAATGTTTGCGGGAAATGGAAAATTTCAGTGCCAACAAGAACTGAACTCAATACTTTTGACAATCCTAGTGTGTATACAATAAAATATTGCTATATAAGAGTTTTGACATATCATGCAACCCTAATTACTGTGTTTTACTGTAAAATTACACACACACACACACAAAAAAACTCTTTAGGTTTTCATTTTTAAATAGCAAGAACCATTGGTCTCGCAAAATTCTGGTGGGACTGACCAAATAATAAAGCATCAATGCAGATTTTACTGAACCGTGAAGAGATAAACACACAGCTTCTATCATTTACATCAGTGGTCCCCAACCTTTTTATCACTGTGGGCCAGTCAACGCTTAACAATTTTACCATGGACCACCATCATTTGCGATCTCTAGCAGTTGATTTGCAAAGACATGGTGGATTTACCTAATATGTTTACAAATGAGTAGCAGATTTATTCCTTGGTAGTTAGCAGGTGCTTCAATGGGCCTTTTCCTCTTCGCAAAGAAACTTCCCAGAGACCTCTATTTCTTACTCATTTTTGGGCGCTCAAGTGACCGAGATGTAAGCAAGAGAATCCAGTCATTTTTCAAAACAAAAGATCGTTCAGACTCAGATAATAAATAAAACTTTAATTAATTATTTATTAATTATTTTATATACTTTAATTAACATAATTAATGATTTCTTGTGCAGCCCGGTACCAATTGATCCACGGGCCGCTACCGGTCCAGTGGTTGAGGACCGCTGATTTACATTACATTTGTTAGGAAGTCGTTCCCCACCTGTACAATTTTCATGATGATCAGATGTTCCAAACCAACATGAGGTTAACTAAATGAGGCCGAGTAAAATGACAGACATTTAACTTTTGAGAGAAATGTCTCTGTAAGTGTTCTGTTATAAAAGTTATCCTGGAGATTTGGTGGGGGGGTTCATCTTTCTAGGAGATGAGGTAATCTAGCCTACAAGTGGGATGAAGAGCCCAAAGGTTTATCCGAAACTAAACAGTACAGCCATAAAAACACCCACGTGCATGCTTCTTTCAGAACAAACTCTACACTGATTTTCTCCAATGACAATGAGCCATGAAACCTTTCGCCTCTTCGTCCAACAACTAAACATTTCCTGAGGAATTCCAACAAGGCCTGTTATTCTTGGAGATGAAACAACTGCAACAACACAGAGAGAGAGAGGGAAACCACTTGTTAATTGATTTGCAGAGAGAAAGGGAGACAGTCTAGTTAATACTCTCGTTTAGAGTAGGGAAGTTAGCAGCTATTCCAATGAATAACATTAAAAGGGGAACTATTATGCCACTTTTTACAAGATGTAAAATAAGCAAGTCTTTCTTTCTGCAGACAGCAAGAAGGGGGCGTAACATGAAGGGGGTGTAACTTGTAGTAAGTTAAACAAGAGTAACTTGCAATTATCGAGATCTCATTGAAGCATGCAAGATGTCACAACAAGAGGTTGTTGACAAGATGGTAGAAATTCTTATCGGAGAACATTTTCACCAAATGTTTTCATGAGTTTTTTCCAAATGTATCCACAACCAATTCATTTGATATGTTTTTATATTCATTAATTTAGCAACTCTATCACTCGCTGACATCTTCATCCAGTTTATCATGATAATCAGTTAGCCCCCTGTGGTCGCAAATAACAGTATAATAGTGAGCGCATCAAGTATGAAAGCCTCAGCAACTCACGGATGTACATTAAAA